TGGGCTATAGAACTATTTGTGACAAGCAGCCATCTGTATGTCCAAGTAAAACTTTGAATGAGATTCTAATGAGCAGAAGTTCTCGTGTGTTTGAAGGTCTCTTGTCATGAAAAAACAGTGGAAAACACGTGGCATATGTAGACTAGCTGTTCTTGAGTACAGCTAGATTTACCAGCTGTAGCTCCCATACAAAATTTCAGTTTGATCAGTAACTGCTGTCAATTTGACATAGTCTAAGTGGCTAAAGCAAAAATTTTAATCCTGAGTTAAGATATAACCTTGTTTGTTGCTTTTCACCCGATAAGTAACCATATCTCTAGAATAAGACAGCAACTGAAAGTGCCATACTGTATGCTGTGTGTAGGGATGGACACTGAAATAATGTATGCTTAATTGTTGTTGGAATTCGTACTTTGAACAGTGTTGTGGAGGAAGTGATAGTAGTTTGAGTGAGATTGATGTCTTCTGTAAAGTAGAAGTCATACAGATGTTCTCCAAAATTTCTGTACCTAGGCATGCAAAAGTGTTAAGTGTTTATTTTCACTGGATTCTCTACAATGATATCTGAGCACTATCCAGATTATGGAACTTCCTACAAGAAAGGTTTTCATGTCTCTCTCTGATAACTGCCCTCCCAAGATATAGATATCTTTTTTTTTTTTTTTTTAAGGTGATTACTTTGGCTATTGCAAGTTGCTGGTGGTGATTTAGTAGAATGTGGACTGTTAAAGTAATGAGAGCTATGCTATCATATTTCTCAAATTATATATAATTTTGTTTTGGTTTTTACTCACTTGATGTTCATGGGAAGTCTGATCTCTCATTAATGTGTTGCATAGTCATTTAAGGTAGGATTTGTTTCATTTAGCTAGCTTTTAGACAGTTACCTAGTCCGAGGCTGTGATTCCTGAACATCTGAGCTCATGATTTGACAACTCTGCTCCTGAAAGGAGAAAGCCTTGCTCCTCATCCTGCTTATTTCCTTGGCTCTTTGTTCCTTTCTCCTAGCCAGTACCAGCTGCCTGCTTTCACTGATGATGTAGCCTGTTGGAGTTTTCCATAAGCTAGCATGACTAACTGACCTCACAGAAAAACTGTTGAGTGTTTTCTGCTTGTTTAAGTGTGTTGGCTTCTTAGGTTAAATCAGTTCATGGAAGGGTCTGATGAATGACAAATCTAGGAATGGGGATGAAGAAAGGAGGAGTGGAGCCTCCCGTTCCCGGTGACAGTGAGCTCTTATATTGGATTCCACTTTTTCATTAGTTCATTATCTAGTCTTACTGTAGACTCTTAAGCAGGGATGAGAAGGAGTAGTGTTTGAAGAGTCATGAGGCTGTGCTGCTTCTGAGTGTCTCACTTATTCTTTCAGGCAAATAGTTCATTGTTTCACAAGACCTTGGCTGATTGGATTAGAAAAAAAGAAGAGAAAGAACATATAAGGAGGTCTAGAGTTCTGACAGAAACAGGCAAATGGATTAAACCATACATTGTGTGAAACAGCTGTTTGGCTTTCAACAGATTTTACTGAGAATTTTACTGCTTGAGCAAAACATGGCACAAGGCTAAGTACTGTAATTTTTTTCATCAATAGCTGCATAATTACATTCATTGTATCAACTAACTGTGTAAAATAGTGTTTAAATATAAGTGTGGATGTGATATGGAAAGCAGAGCCATGAGTGAGTTGTTATGTTACCCAGGTGAATTATCAGTACATGCTGAAATCATGTAATTTGGTTATGCCAGGTAAGCTAGAAGGAAGCCTTGTTGTTGTAAACAACATACAATAAAAATAAAAATTGTAATATAAATAAGTACAATTATCTTGATATCTTCATATTTTTCTCTAAACGCAAGTATTCTCACCATTTTAAGTGCTTGTAGCAAACAAAAAGTTAAAATAATATAGCTGAAAAATCTTGTAAAAGAAGAAAATCCCTTTCATGATGTGTAGATATAAAGAAGAGAGAGATGTGAAATAGGTCTTTAAGCGGTGTTTCTCTCTGTATGAAAATAAACAGTTGGAGAAGAAAGGCAAAGTAAAGGTCATTCTTGCAAACGTAATTAAGTTACTTCACTTAGCTAGGTATTCTACAATAAATATTGCCATTTTAGCTACTGAGTGTGCATTTCCTAGGTTTCAGGACTCTGCACCAATACCTTTATATGTATACCTGCACAAAATGATGTTAAGATTTCAGAGTATAAATTTGGGGAACTGATACAAGTTTGCAGTTCTGTAACATGACAAAATTTGGCAAATATATAGGTGGAGAATTAACTTTAGATGATCTGGTTTTAGTTTCTTTAAAGTATGTTTTATGGTTCTCTACTTCTTGAACAGATTTCCAAGAGAGGAAGAAATTTTAACTAGTGTTCCTTTGAAGTATTTCTCAAAAATTATGGGTGTAGTCTTGTGTAATTTTGAAGATTATTTAAGGTCTGCTCATTGACTATGAGCAAGTACTGTAAGCCATTAGCACAGAAGAAATTCTTCTTAGTAATATACTTACAGTATTTGTAGCCCTAAACGATGTTGACTACTGACAGTTCACTGCCAGGAATTATTTTATGATTCGGGGAAAGAAAAAAAAAAAGGTTTTTTTATTTGTAAGAATGTGAGTAGGTTAAATATTACAAGTTGCTGTTAATAATTTCAAGGAAAGAGCTCTATGTGAAGTAATGAAATCTCTTATGTTACTGTAGTTTGGTTCATAGTTGTCACCAGGAATGCAAATCATGAAATTTGCCACTAGGTGTCCCTGCAAGCCAAAATAGTTTTGTTTCCTTAACTACATACTGCTTGGGTTTTTGCAGTCCGAAACAATTGTTTTGTAAGCTACAATTTTTGCCCTCTCTTCTTTCCTTTGTTCTTTTTCATGAAATCTTCATGCAGATGAATACATGACCAGGTGTGTGTCTTGCTTTATAATTTGTACGCTTTTTCATAGCAGCAAAAGCTGTGAGGAGAGCATATACTTCCCACCCGCAGCAGCTTGGAAATGAGAGTACAAAAGGTTGCGTTTCCATTTATCTTTTTCTTTTGGTTGGTATGTTCTCAGAAAACGCCATGCGCTTTTTTGGTGTCTTTGACTTTATATCTGTTATGCCACTTCAGAAATACTTCTTACTCGAGTAAGCTGCAGGATTCAGACCCAACTTTAAATCCTGTGTTCTTCTGAGCTTTGGCTTACATTTGGTATCTGTGGCTTATGAAAGCAAAGACCTGAGACAGAGAAAAGTACTATTGCCTGGTGGTTGGTTGTGTTGGTTTGTTGCTTGGTTGTGGGGGTTTTTGTTTTGTATTCTTCTTCAGTGATCATGATAACCCTGTTGGTATGCATAGAAATTCTTAGGGGTGTGCTGCCTTGGGTTTTCTCTGTGGACCAGAACTTTCTGTCCTCTCACATGGTTTATTGTCCTTAGGATCACTAAGGACAGTGACCTTTTGAATGACCAGTTCTCCTCATACAGCTGTTGGTTTAACAATTGAAAATGTCTTTATATTGAGTTTGGAAATTGCTGTTGTCCTTTGTTTTTCAACAACCAACAAAATTCAGGAATCAAAAATAGATACTGTGTTGATTAGAAGGTTCTTCAGAGCTTATGCTATTAATGTTGGAAATTCGTTGTGCATCCAGGACAGTCACTGAGGAGAATGTTCTTTATTCTGATTTCTTCCCCCTTGTTCTCTCAGCAAATTTGGGTAAAGCAGAGTACAAAGTTGCTGTTGTCACTTTGCCTATACTAGTGGTGTAACTCTGGTAGATTTGAAAAATGGGAAAGAAAACTTAAACGTAAGACTTTCTTACATTATTATGTACATCTTGGTGGAATGGGCACTGACATGCAACATTTCTTTTCCTATGTGGAAGATAGATTTTCATCTTGCTTATAGTTTAGGGGTTTATAAAATCAAATGGTAAGCGTTTAAGATAGATCCGTGAAAGATTTGAAGAGTGGAATGGTAGAAAACATTATATATTCCGCTGTATATGTAGAGAAAGTGAGGTATTTGCAGTGATGGTGGAGATTTAACATTTTTCATGTTTGAGTTTTACTTTGTACAAAGTTACAAAGTGTAACTTTGAATTACATTTTGTACACTGCAACCATGGAGTTCTTAGGCATCGGTCCAGTTATGCCAAAAGCTAAAATGGCAGAGAGGTTGGTTTCAAAGCTTTGTAACTTCCCTAAAATTCACTTATAGTCCTCCCACCCCCAGATCCTTTAGAAGTGTCAGTAATGATCAGATTAATATCGAAAAGAACTAATGGGGCATATTAGAATACTCCCTCATTTCTCAGCATCTGTCAATTTGCAGCTTTCTCACACCAATCTGATATTGTCACATTTAGCAAAACTCTTTCTGGAAAGGTCACAAGAAACCATGAGATAAACTTTGAAAACAAGGAAGTGACATGTATCGATGATGTATTTCAGGGCTGAACTTTGGGCAGGTATGTTCCAGACTGTCCATGAAACCTTAATTCTTCTCCAGAGAGGGCTTGATAGGAATTCAACAGTGAGAATTATCTGCTCCTCTTCTAGCTGAAATGAGTAGTACAACTTGTTAGGATAGTGTGAAAAACTGTGACTGTAATAAGTAAAGCTATATGTGTCTGATGTCTGTGGCCTCTGCTGAACTCTGGTTCACAAGGCATCATTAGGGCATTACTAGCATCATAGTTTGATTCTCAGTGTGCAGCATAAGTAAAAATAACTTTTCATGCAATCTGTCAGATGGAAGTGCTTGTGCTTATTTTGTATTGACTCAAATAATCTCCATGTTTAAGTTTATTCTGTGCCCCTGGAAGGGCTGTTACTTTTTAGGGTAGGCAGAATGAGCAGAGAATAGTCGCCCTCTCAGTAGAAGCTTCTAACCTGAGTTACAGCAGAGCCAGGATTCTTCTGTACTGAAGGCAAAAGCAGTGTGTGAAATCTTTGAACTGTGAATGTACTCGATTGCTAATTACACGTCCTTGTATTTGTTCAGGTGACTTGATCTTCTGGGATGTCAGCAGAAGAAGTGGATGGCGTTGTGGATTAATTATAAGTTAATTTTTATTTTGTCCTCTCCATACTCATCGTGAATAGTCATTATAAAATGGATGCTTTGGGCAGTCTCCTTCCTCCCGTGGCTGGAAATGGTGATATGGCTAATTCAGAAGAATTACAAAAACTTCTGATGGATGAAAAATTGCGATGTGAACACCATAAAGCAAATTATCAAATCATAAAGACAGAACATCTAAGGTACACTAATTTAAACAGGTTTCTTCTTATAAGTTGTTAAAAGGTGAAGCTAAATAGCAGGTGGAAGGGATTTGAGTGTTAGGTATTTCTGTATTTAAAGACAGATTTGAGCGTTGTTCAAACTAGAAAATAAACAATTGAAAATACCTTAAGACATTGCAGATTAAGTTTCTGCAATACGTCTTATGCTTGTAAATATGGGATAACTTTCCAGTATGTTACAGGAAGAGGATATTAATAACTTAGTTCTAACTTGGTATTTGCATGTTTGCTTCTACACATGAGTCTTCTGAGCTTTAAGATCTAATTTTAGAGGGTAAATATAAAATAAATATGTATTTTATCTTGCAGATTACAGGAGAAATATACAAAATCACAAGATGAACTGAAGCAGCTGTTAGTTGAAAAGCAGACTGTACATGACAAATTTCAGTTACTTCTTGCTGAATATCAAGAGGAGTTGCTGGGTAAAACACAGGAGCTGGAAAAACTGAAGATGCAGGTGAAATACTTTACTGGCAGGACTTAATATGAATTTTAATCCTGTAGTAGGGCCATACATATATTTCTGTTTATGTAACATGTATATACCTAGCTAGAATATATTTCAGATATCTTGAAATTCACCCAACCTGAGTAATGTTTCTTCTCTAGAGTGACTATGGGTTGAAATTATTGTTTTCTTGTTTAACTGAACCTTCCAAATCCTATTGTTATGTGCAATGTTAATAGTTAAGACCCTCAGTCTCTGTCTGTGCATGCTCTTCTGTTATGGGGAGAATCATCTGCCCTGAAGGATGACTTAGATGCCTAAACCTGTTAGGATAAGTGACTGGAAAAATAGGTATTTGTTTCTCTTTGTGATGACAGCTTGCTTCATTTTAAAAGAACAAAAAAACCAAAAACAACCAAACAAAGCCAAACACCACCCCCTCCCCCCCCCAACATTTAAGATAATTTGGATGACACTTTCTATAACTGCTTGTTTCCTTAAAATAATGCAGGACATGTTCTTAGAAAACAAATAGAGCATCTAATAAAGGATCCCAGACTCTGAATGGAGGAGATGTGCCTCAGTATCGTAACTAGAATCAGTTTGCAGGGACTTCAGGGTTCAGATAAGTGGAAGAAAAGTAGAATAAATTAGAATATATCACAGGTTGTGGATGAAATTTTTTTTTTAAACACTTTTTCTTGGTAGGTATCTTGCTGTATTAACCATACCTAAAAAAACTTAACAAAATGCCATGTCAGCATGGAGTGTAAGGCAGGGAATCCTTCCTGATTCCATTTTCATTTCATACCAGTACCCATGTATCTGTTGGAGAACGTGTATCTAATGTGTTTTACAAAGAATTGGTTTGGTATTGCTCATTGTGATTCTTTGGGGTTGGTTCACTTACTGTTTAATTTTTTTCCAAACGCTAATTCTTTATCTTTTATGTGAGACCACTTTTCCTTCCCCCCCTCCCCCACAAAGGAGATAAACCTCTTGGCAATTCAGTTTGACATTTGTATTGCTTCTACCAGTAAATACTGACATTTTAAATGCTTCTGTTATCTCCCCAGAATATTTTTAGTTCACTAGTATCATGGGTTTTTGCTTCTGTAACTACTATTGAAAGTTCTTTAGAAAAACAGAAAATTAAGCAGCATTCCTAACACCATATTTGAAAAACTTTATTCCTGGCTATTTGTCCTATTGCAGTGTAAATAAATGAATTTGACTAGTTATTTATGATACCTTTCTGTCTTAAGGTGCTAACTCCTCAAAAATTAGAACTGTTAAAAGCACAAATACAGCAGGAATTGGAATCTCCTATGACAGAACATTATCGGAAGCTAGAAAATGTAAGTAGTAAGTATTGAAATTCTATTTCATTTAGAGTAGTGATCACCAGGTTCCTAAAACCTTAGGAAATTAAAACTGAAAGGGGAGCAAAGTATGTCATTCTTTGTCTAGTACTGTTGCCCCAGGCAGTGAAGGTTGAAACCCTAGAAGAAGGAGAAGGAGGGATTCAGTTCATCAGATATAACTTGTGAAATGACAGGAGCATTGCATGGACTTTTGAAGGAAATAAATCTGAAAACTTCTGATTGATGTTTTTGGTTCTTTTGCCTAACTTAGGAAGTGGAAAAATACAGAACAGAATATAACAAACTTCGTTATGAACATACTTTTCTGAAATCAGAATTTGAACATCAAAAGGAAGAACATGCACGTATTTTAGAAGAGAAGAAAATAAAATATGAGTCTGAGGTACGTAGAATGTTACAGTAGCTTAAAATGTATCTGATGACAAAACTGCTACAACATTGTGAAAACATTGGTACTTGATGCGTTGTCAGTTTGACACCATTTCATAACATAGTGTTTGTTTCCGTTCTCTTAATTCTCAAAACACTTTTATGACTTAGCCTAGAGCTGTCTCTGTAGGTTTGTTCAGTGATGTGTTGCAATATCGTTTGTGCTATTATAAGTAAGAATAGACTTGCCTTCTGTCAAATGACAGCCAGTAGCTTTGCTTAATGCTTTTTTTAATCGCATTTGTGATAGAATTTGAGACATTACGCTAATCTGAAATTAATAAATTATCTCAGCAACCAATGTAAGTTTAGATTTTAAATTACTTATGTGGCAACTAATTCAAGAAGGCAGCAGCAGAAGATATTGTTAATACCAGTGTCCTGGTTTCATCTGGGATAGAGTTAATTGTCTTCCTAGTAGCTGGTATGGTGCTATGTTTTGAGTTCAGTATGTGAAGAATCTTGATAACACTGATGTTTTCAGTTGTTGCTCAGTAGTGTTTAGTCTAAAGTCAAGGATTTTTCAACTTCTCATCCCCAGCCAGCGAGAAAGCTGGAGGGGCACAAGAAGTTTGCACAGGACACAGCCAGGGCACCTGACCCAAACCGGCCAAAGGGGTATTTCCATACCATGGGACGTCAGATCTAGTATAGGAACTGGGAAGTGGGGGCAGGGATCACTGCTCGGGGACTAACTGGGTGGTGAGCAATTGCACTGCGCATCATTTGTACATTCTAATCCTTTTATTATTACTGTTGTCATTTTATTAGCGTTATCATTATTAGTTTCTTCTTTTCTGTTCTATTAAATCGTTCTAATCTCAACCCACGAGTTTTACTTCTTTTTCCCAATTTTCTCCCCCATCACACTGGGGGGGGAGGGGAGAGTGAGTGAGCGGCTGTGTGGTGCTTAGTTGCTGGCCGGGGTTAAACCACAACAACCAGACAAGGGTATATTTTGCAACTAAGTTGGATCATGACAGTGGCGGTCAAAAGGATACTGAAAACTTTGGTAACTTTATTTCAGTTGTATTAACTCTTGAAAAAAACATTAATGAATTTTCTGTTTCAGAATTGGACTTTCAAAAGTGTAGCTAAATAAATTGCCAGCTTATTTATCTTTTAAATATATGCAGCAGTGTAAATGAGTGGTGCATGTCATTTGCATATTCATTTAAGTATTTGTCTGGGAGCATATATCCTAAGATGCCAGATTTGAATGTATTAATCCAAACATGAGACACAAATCAAAGCAATCATCACTTTCAAAATCAATCCAAATTTGCAAATGGAATGCATTAAAAACGTAACAGTTGTCCTTCCCGGAGCTAAACCCACATGCTGCTTTACAGCCTGCCTCTCTTGTGGGCTTGTTGAGTTTGTGCTAGTCCTGCAGCTAATTAGCACACTTACAGAGAATGAAACTACCTTGAGCCCAGGGCACAATGTGATCTAGTTTCTTTCTCTTAGATCCTTTTTAACTTTCTATGCCATTTAGCACAAGGAAGCTACAAAAACAGTGTAATTCTTAAATGATGGGCACATCATGCAATAACTGTTTGAATCTCCTCATAAAAGGGATTTGGAGGGCTTTTGCTGTAGAAATTGGCTTTGCTCCAATAGAGATCACTGAGGCAACCTCTGAAAGCACTGCTGCAGATCAGAGTTTGGACTTGTCTCCAAATACCAAGAGAACTCTTACATACCTTACTTTCTCACTCTTTTGCCCCCAGTATTACATTCAGTCCACATTACTCATTTTGAAACACTGGAATCTATATAATACATTTGTTAGTTACAGTCCTGAGATTAGTTTTTACCTATTGTACTACCTTGTAACAGAAAGATTTGTTTTTTTCTTCTTTATTTTCCATCTGACGGGGCCCAATTGTGTTGGCTGTCTTGAATTACTAACAGATTTGAGTTCTATTGTGGTTGTAGAATTGTGGAATCATATGAGTTAGAAGAAACCTCCTTCTAGTCCAACATCCTGCTTAAAATATTGAAGTGTGATGAGATCGGGTTGCTCAGGGCCATGTCCAATTGAGTCTTGAACATCTGGAAGGATAGAGATTCCACAACATTTCTGGGCAAACTATTTCAGTATTTAACCGTCTTCATGGTAAACCTTTTTCCTAATACCTAACTGGAATTTCACATATTCCAACTGTGTCCATTGCCTCTGTTCTCATCACCATGCATCTCCTTCTCTTCTCCAAGCTGAAGAGGCATAGTTATCTCAGCCTGTCCTTCTATGTCGTGTTCCCCAACCACCTGACCATCTTGGTGGCCATCCGCTGGACTTGCTCTAGTTTGTCATTATTCTTCATCTACTGTACACAGACTCCAGATGCAATCTTACAAGTACTGGAAAGGGACAAAGGATCGCTCCCCTGGCTATCCTCCTGCCAATCTGCCAGGATGCATTTGGCCATCTGTGCTGCAAGGTTACTCTGTTGACTAATGTTCAACTTCTCCACTAGGACGCCTAGATCCTTTTCCACGGAGCTGCTTCCTTGACAGTTGCCCCCAGCATGTACTGTTGCATTGGGTTACTCCGTCCCAGATGCATGACTTGCTCTTGTTGAAGAGGTTCCAGTCAGCCCATTCCTTCAGCCTGTCCAGATCCCTCTGAAGAGCAGTTCTGCTTTCCCAGCACATTGACCATTCCCCCCCCCCCAGTTTGGTGTCACCCGCAAGCTTGCTGGAACTGTACTCCATCCCATTATCCAGGTCACTAACGAGGACATCAATCAGTATTGGACTCTGTACTGATCTCAGAAAGACCACACTAGCTACAGGCAGTCAACTGGGCTTTGCACCATTGATCATCGCTTCTTGAGCCTGGCAGCCCAGCCAGTTTTCCACCCACTTTATCATCCACTTTTCTAGCCCCATATGTCACCAATTGGTGAGAGAGATAATGGGAGACTGTATCAAAAGCCTTGTTAAAATCAAAGTATACAAGAGCCACTGCCCTCTCCTTGTCTGCAGTGCCAGTCACCTCTTTCTAGAAAGCAGAGAAGTCAGGCATGATTTGCCCTTGGTAAACCCTGCTTTCCATCACCCTGTCTTTCATGTGTTTAGAAATGGCTTTTAAGACATTTTGCTTTATAACCTTCACAGAGACTGATGTGAAGCTGGCTATCCTGTAGTTATCTGGATCCTTCTTGACCTTTTTGCTTTTCTTGATGATGGGTGTGCTGTCTGCCTCTTTGCAGTCATCAGGAATCTTCTCTGATCGCCTTGACTTTTCAAAGGTGATAGAGAATAGGCTTGCGATGATACCAGTGAGCTCCTTCAAAATGCTTGGATCTGTTCCAAGGACTTGTGAGTGTCCAGTGGATTAAAGGATCCCTAACATTTTCTTCCTCTATTCTGGGTACTGCTTTACTCCCACAGACTGCTAGGCAGCTCAGGGACATCTGAGGCCTGAGGACAAGCCTTATCAGTGAAAACTGAAGCAAAAAAGGCATTGAAGAATAGGTCTGTTGATTTTCCTACTCTAAGAAAGAAAATAACTGTGAATGTAATTTCTTAGTATTTTAAATGAACACTGCTGCTCTTTCCTGAATTGTCAACTGCTGTATTTGTTGCTGCCTGACACCTAACTAATGTAAAAGCTTTTATTTTTCTGATTAACAACTATCAGATTGCAAGGCTGGAGAAGGATAAAGAAGAACTCCATAATCAGCTGCTGAGTGTTGATCCCACGAGGGACAGTAAACGCGTGGAGGCACTCTCTAGAGAAAAGGCACAACTGTATCAGAAATTAAAAGGCTTAGAAGCAGAAGTAGCAGAACTAAGAGCAGAAAGAGACAATTGTGGTGTGCAAGCAGAAAATGTTCAAAGAGTACAAGTACGACAGTTAGCTGAGATGCAGGCTATGACAAGGTCTCTAGAGGTAAGATTCTCTTTTTTCTTTTTTTTTTTTTTTTAATTTTGCCTCCTTGTAGAGTGTAGTGAGAATAGCACTTGAACTGTCACTAAAGTCACTGATAACTTTGCCATTGACTCTACAATTTGAATTTGTACCTTTCAAATTTAAAAACAAATTGTAAGTAAATTGGGAGTCACGTACTGCCAATTCGACTTTGGAAAGGTGGAGAGCTCAACTGAGAGATTCTGCTGAATGACCTTGTTTCTAAACACGCGAGTAATATCCATGTTTGCAGTCAGTAAGATGGTCATGTCAGCACTTGTCACTTGGCTGGAGTTAGAAACTGATGACAATATGTTAATAATCTGCTACAGTAAATTTTTTATAATTTTCAAAAATGTCATGAGATGCTCCCCTATTCCTTTAATTCTTTCCTCATGTGTTTTCCTTCTTGCCTACCTGTGTCTCTCCTCTTTCCAACACGTTACTGCTATTGTTTAGTTCTTGGCTGTCGCTCTCCCTTAAAGAAGCTTTCGTATTTCTGGCCTGTTGTATTTTTCCCAGGATTCCACTGTATTCCTCATCTGTGGTCTTCAGTCCTCCTGTCAGTTCTTGCTATCTCTCTAGGTAGTGAGTCCTTCCACGTAGATTTCTTGCAGAGTTGCAGCATACAGATAGATGGTTCATTTTCCTTTTTACTGTTATCAGTGCTGTATACCTTTGTTACAAAATGCTGGCATCACAACTTAAAATGAACAGTGCTGTAATATTCTTAACTTAGAAAACTTAAAAAAAAGTCCTGCTGGAAATAGGTCAGTTCAGAAAAAGAAAGGTGATATTGTAGGTTAGATTACCTTTTTGATACTTAGTAAAGCTAAGGTCTTGAGTCTGTAATACTCACAGTAATTGCATTTTATTTCCTCTCCATGATGTTAATTCTTTAGTTAGTATAACTGTATAGGCCAACATATGACATCTTTTTAAGCACCACTTAGAGTCATACTGGTGTTTATGGCCCAGTAATTTACTGGTAGGAATACCTGCTGCCTCCTAACCAAGTCAAATTACCTCTGCCTCTTGTGAAGTAAGATTGAAAATGTGTGTGATTCTGTGCAGGCAGTGTTAGTAAAAACAGTTGTGACTTTTGAGTAAAATTCAAGATCCTTGTACATATTGTTGTACATACCCCTTGAACATATTGTTGAGCAAAGATATAATAATATAATATATAAATATTTATAATATAAAGAGTCAGTAATATCTGAAAGCCCAGATCAATTGAATCTTTCAAGTGAATAGCAAGAGACAGCCCTGCTCAAAAAAAAAAAAAAAATCTTATAAATACCTCCTTTATTCAAGGCAGAAAAGAAGTCTGCTGAACTACAGATTGATCGAATTGAGAAGGAACTGCGGATGAGTCATGAGCAAAACATTCTCTTAACTACCAAACTTCACAAATCTGAACGAGAAGTCAATGCCTTAGCTACTAAAGTAAGTGCTTTTATGGTATCTGAAATACATTCTTCATATCCTGTTATGTTTACGTTTTCCTGTATATTTTACATTAAGAATAAAATAATAATGTCTTCTGCTGTGACTTAAAATAGGTTTGGAATTTTTTTCCCAATTTCAGTTGGAAGATACAGAATATGTGACTTTACAGGAAAAACATCATCCCTAAAATTATCTCTAAAGATTGAGGTTATGCTCTTTCTATTTCATTTTCTAGATCTTTTTTTCTAAACACAACAGGGCTTGAAGAGGTATCTTTCTTTATATTCATGATTTTAGTATCCATGAAAATAGCCAGCCCTATTTGATGGAAACAAGCATTACTTTTTCATAAAGTGTGCAAAGTGCAATAGAGCTTTAAATTGATTTTTTTTTTTTTTTTTTTTTAAATGGAGCTATGGCTTCTAGAGATCTTAAAAAGTATCCTCTGAATGGGCTGTGTTAGCTACAGGAAGCAAGCTGCATTGGAATCACCTGTGGAGATTTAGGTTATATTAGAAGGATAGTCACATTAACATAGCATTCTTCTTGGGCATAGCCAGCATAGCTTGTACAGAAACATTTCTGTACAGCACTGCATCATATCATTTTAAGTAGATCATTGTCTTGCAACATGTTTGAGTATCTTAGTTGTTGGGTTGGCACCAGATCTGAGAGATTTTGTTCTATGTTTGTATGCTTTTTTTTTTTTTTTTTGAGATCTTAGAGAAATTTCTAGAAAAATACTTAAGATAAAAAAGATCAGAAAACTTCAAGTTTAGGGAAAACCTGAAAGTGCTTAAGAAACTCGACAACACTGTTTAGTATTTTAGCATAATTAGTTTAGTATGGATGTCAGATTCAGAGTTTTATCTGGTTGCAGTGACTCTTCAGCTATACAACTTAAAGACAGATCCTTTATGCAGTTTCATATGTGATTATTTGAATAAATAAGAAAAATCAAAACACTAGTAAACTGTTTTACCTTTAAATGTTGCAGAATACTTACTTTATGTAAATCTGAGTCAGGATACTAGTCCTAATGAAGTAGTTACTTGGGTAAACGTTAGCTTTCTGCTGTCTCTTATTCCCTCCTTTCTGGAGAGAATACTGGGTGATAAATTTTTATCACATCTGTCAGTTCCTGGTAGCAAATTTAATCCCATGTGTTTTCTTACCGTTCTGGAGAGGCTTTAGTTAGTTCTGAACTAACTGTAAAGCCAGTAACTTTGGTCTTGTAAATCTAGCTGAATGCAGAATTATTTTAAGCTCTGTTGATTTAAAGTTATCCTGCACTTCTGAATATACTTTCCAGAATAATACTGACATGTGCTTTGAATGGGTACGGTAGTTAATATTGTCATAATACGCCTCAAGAAAGATACAATACAGGAAGAAAACTTTAACTTCTACATAGTTGTTCTTTAACAATCTCAGATTTAATTCAAAACAGGCTTTACAGTGCACATTTATGAGTGTGAAGTATTTCATTTTGGTCCTTAATCCAAAAAAGGTCTCATTTACCCTAAGAACAGGATATACCTATATCAGTATTTAAAACCTCTTTATACAATGTGTCATACTTGTCTCGTGAAAAATAAATAGGAGGGGAAAACTTCTGTTAAACATTTAGTAACCAATTGTCTATCAGAATATATAGAAGATTGTTACAGTCTTTACTTTTTGTATCAACTGGTGTTCTTTGCTCACCTCCAGAAGTAGGAGAAAATTAAAATGTTCAGTGGTGTTTCTTGAAAGGAAGAAAGTAGAAACTAATTTCTATACTAACCTCCACCCCCTTCTGCACCCACTCAAACTTCTTCCTGAGCACAGGTGCACGCACTGATCTTCCAGATTTTGTGCCTTAAAAAAGCCACCTTAAATCTTTGCAAGTTGCCCTGAAATGTTCTCAACTTAGTATTTAAGCAACCAAATCCACCGTGTAGTTACTTAATAAGCTACTATGTCATTCTTAACCTTTTGCCACTTGTATATGCTAGCAGGTTGTAATTACATTTGTCATTGTGAATGGATTTTTATTATAAGTGCTTTCCTCTAGATATTTAATTCTCATTGACCGTGTAATTACTCCATACAAATGCCTAAACTATAGAAAGTTTCCATGCTAGCAGTAATTGTCTTTGATTTGATGTTCTTAAAGCTCCTGCTTTTATGAGGCCATTTGATGTGTGTGTCACGGTTGTAGAGAAGTATTTGAATTAAAATGCACTTTAAAACTATGAAGACCTGGATTTTGAGGAAGTAGTGTAGCACTCCAGGAGGTCAGGAGGACTATAAGTAGTTACTAAATTGAAATTACTTGGGGGAGCAATTGGTAATCTGGTTTTGCATATTACTGTTTTGTTTTACTTAGGGAGATTAAATTTAACTTTATTTTAGCTTGACTTTGAGGGATCTTTAGTTAGAAGTGAAGTATGTGTAAACTGACATGCTAATGCTTGAGTTAGCGAGGCATCAGGGTCTTATGCAATTTGGATCAGTATCATAGCAAGGTATTTCCAACGAGTAGTCTTTTCAGAAATGCCCCAGTATTCAGAGGCTAGCTTGTAGAATGTATGGTATTTATTCAGAAGCCGAGTTTTCAAAGGCAGTCCTGCACATCTGTGCATATGTCACCAACGCTTCTTCAAAGATTAACTTTTCTACACTGTAGCTTGTAATAACTGGCTGGTTAGTTGTTGTGGTTTAACCCCAGCCGGTAACTAAGCACCACGCAGCCGCTTGCTCACTCCCCCCCACCCAGTGGGATGGGGGAGAGAATCAGGGAAAAAACAAAAGTAAAACTCGTGGGTTGAGATAAGAACAGTTTAATAGAACGGAAAGGAAGAAACTAATAAAGACAACAACAATAATAAAATTACAATAATAATAAAAGGATTGGAATATACAAAAGAAGTGATGCACAATGCAATTGCTCACAACTCGCCGACCAATGCCCAGTTAGTTCCCAAGCAGCGATCGGCCCCCTGCCACCTCCCCCCAGTTTCTATACTGGGCATGACATCCCATGGTATGGAATACCCCTTTGGCCAGTTTGGGTCAGCTGTCCTGGCTGTGTCCCCTCCCAACTTCTTGTGCCCCTCCAGCCTTCTCGCTGGCTGGGCATGAGAAGCTGAAAAATCCTTGACTTTAGACTAAACACTACTGAGCAACAACTGAAAACATTAGTGTGTTATCAACATTCTTCTCACACTGAACCCAAAACACAACACTATACCAGCTACTAGGAAGAAAATTAACTCTATCCCACCTGAAACCAGGATATTAGAGATGAAATACATGTCAATAGTCAGAGAGCCTGGTTCCTGGAATATATGTTGTGTTTCAGCACTTTGATTGTTTTAATCAGGGAATATATAAAACTTGCATCTCAACATGACTGACAACTCATTCAGTAATCTTCAGTGTGTGACTTGAGGAATTAATAAAAACCAGTAATAGTACTGATTATGATTTGGGGAATCAGATCATGCCAATAGCTTTTGTGTTACAGTATCTATATAATCACCACTAAAAATTATCTACAGGAGTGGATATTCTGGATTGGCTTCAGGAAAGCAGTGGAAGAAAAAAATATTTAAGGTATTTTTAAAATAAGCATAGTCCATGATTATTTGGCAGACTTTCTTGTTTGCAAAGTATCACATGAAAAACTTACAGTAAAGCTGTGAATAATATATATATTTATTTTACTTGATTTGGGGTTTTTTTTCTAATTCATAGGTAGAAGAACTTAAACATTCACATAAATTGGAAGTAACAAATGTCAAACTGGAGGCAGCAAGAACAAAGAGTGAGGTAGAAAGAGAGAGAAACAAGATTCAAAGTGAAATGGATGGTAAAACGTGCAATTAATTTCTAATGATTTCTTTTATAACTTCTAGTTAGAATACTACAATTATTCTTCCTCCAAACATTCCCTAGCAGCCTTCACCTTCTACTTCTGGTCTAAGTTATAGATCTGACAATTCATTTTGTATCTGAAATAACTGTGTTGTTTCACTTGGTCTACTAGGTTAAGAACAGTTATGAACAATTTTGAATTTATGTAAATTAGTGAATCTGTGACACAATCTGAACATAATCTGTTTCAAATCATGTACTTCATATGGTTATTTTTTCTATTATTGCCAAATTCTAGTGTCTTTCACACTCTGCTTGAAACTGTAACATACCATAGGGCTTCAGTGGTTGTTTTGTTTTCTGATTCTGTGTCCATGGAATCAATAACAACTGGGTAAGGTTGCCATGTGAAACAAAATACAATTTCTAGCTTGTTTAAAGAAAATAGGCAATGTTCTAAGCTACCTAATACAGTTGAGTATGTAGGCAACTTGAAATAGCTTTCTGGAGTGAAAAGGCCAAAGCTTTCTAGTACTAGTTACGTGTTGATGATTTAAGTCACTACACAGCTTTTAAGCAGACTGTCCTCACCGATTTGCCATAACCCCCAAATAGTACCTTCATCTTCCTGGAATAGTTGTTTCTGTTCACTTGCTTTAATACTAAGTTCTCTAAGAGCAAGTAAAAGTGGTGTTTTCTGTATTGACAATGTGCTTATAGTATATTGCGAACTAAAAATGTTGGACCCTATGAAATACAAAACTAAATACAGACAAGATTTAAGCTAACCTGAACTTGCTGTGGAATCCAGTTTGCACCACTGAATTAACTAAACAACCAGGAGTCATTGTTATAGCATGTTGGCTTATTTACTGGTGAACACAGCTGTCTTGGTCACAAGTTTTTAATTTGCATCTTTTGTCACTGCCTGTAGAGTAGTAATTTTAGAATTGCCTCGTGGTAATATGAGTGGATTAAAATGTGGGATTTGTTGTAGCCAGGTTACTATGGTTTCACTGGTAACCAGTTACTGTTTACCATAAACTTTTTGATAAAAAGAAAATAACAGATTTTCTTCCTTGACCTTCTCATAGCTATTGTGGAAAACTTTTTTTTTTTTTTTTTAAATCCAGACACAACTGCTTAGCAGGAATTGCTTTAGAGCTTAAATCTATAATAATATCAGCTGTTTTATTACTTTTGTATGTTAAAATAATAAACCTTCATAGACAGAGATTCCAGTGTAACAGTTACTCTTCAAAAGCTTTTGAAATGTTGCTGTTAATACTAAGAAAGGCCATGTCTCTTCTGTTTTTCTTGGTTTTTTTTCCCATTCATTCATTCTGTCATGTGAATTGTGATTTTTAGGTCCCTTATATCAATTTATAAAGTTATTTTAATACTGGATTTCATCAGGTTGACATCAATAATGACATTTTAACTTTTTTTTAATGTATAATGCAGGATTGCTGTCAGACAAGGAAATTCTTAAGGCAGCTGTTGAACGTCATAAGGTGCTTTTAGTAGAAAAGGATCGGGAGATAATTCGTAAAGTGCAAGCTGCCAAAGAGGAATTTTTTGAAAAAATTGCAGCCTTACAGGATGAAAAGTATGTTTTTTTGATTTACTGCTCAACTTCTAAAAGAGGAGTGTTTTGAGTAACTTTTAAAAATGTCATTCTTGGCAACTAAACACTTCTGGCATTTTGTCATGACTCTTGTGTGCATGTTGAATAATGTCTCAGGTTAGAACTTGAGAACAGATTAGCTGATCTAGAGAAGATGAAAATGGAACAAGATACTTGGAGACAATCTGAAAAGGATCAGTATGAAGAGAAACTACGTGTTGTACAGATGGCGGAAGAATCTAGCAAAAAGGAACTTCAGCGTTTGCGGTAGTATGGCTTTTCTAACCTTAACACAAATTTCTCCCCCCCCCATTTTCTCTATAGTAGTCAGTATAAAAGTTTACTATTCATAGATACACAAATGTTCATTATGGTAAATTAAACAAAATTATCTTTTTTGCGTTGTGTAAAAAGAGAGTAGAATTAAAAATGTGCTGTTTAAAAAAAAAAACATTTTTCATCCAAACCTTTAAAAATTACATTATTTTAATTAACATTTTTAAGGCATAATTTTCCAGTACTCATGTTTGTTAAAATTGGGTCCATGTTGGCTGGTGGCATAGCCCCAGTGTTAGAGTAAACCATTCGTCTTTCCATAATGGCACCATATCAGCAACTGGGACCCTAATACAGTATCTCTTTGAGTTGGTTATTACAGTTCTTGGTGAAGTTGTTTTACTACAGTATATGTATGAAGGTCAATATGATAAAAGGAGTGAAAGTCAGACTCCAAAAGCCAACAAATCTACTCCCATATGAATTCTAATAATCAGTAAAAATACATTTTTAATCATCATTTAGTTAAATATTTACCAGCCTTTCAAATTATGCAATATATTTTATTGTCAGACCAATTTGTCTTAACATCTATATTTTAATTAAATAAAAATAAGGATATCTTATACAATTTTAGATTAAAAATTCAACAGCAAGCTATTCAGACAGAGGAATTGGAAGAAAAGAAACGTGAAAGTGCTGATCTGAAACAGGTAAGATTTTATTGCCTTGTAATGTTTTATAGAGAAATACAATCTTTCCTGCAGTTATCACTTCCAGTGTTTGAAGATTAGATTGAATTTTTAAGGCTTTTTTTTTTTTTCCTGAGAGACAAAACACAACAGATAGTTAAAAGCGAAAGTGTTCAGAAATCAGTCATGCTTTCCTGGACTTTTATAAGTGGATTACAGCTTTTTGCTTAATGTGTTTCATGGGTACCAAGGATTTCAAAGCTGAATGTTTATAGACTGGTGTATTGAATATGGTTATGCACTATTTAACTGGAGATTCAGTTTCCATGGAGACTTATAAATTGTTTCTAGGTAATGCTTTGCATTTACACTGCATCTCTCATCTGAGGTTCTTCAAGTGCTTAACAGATGTTTCATAAATGAATAAACTAGTGTAAAGAGGTATATTTCTATTGCAGAGTAAATTGATGGCAGTGTTGAAAATAAAACCTAATTCTTTTAACTCCTGCTCACCCATGATGTTATTTAGTAGGCAAGAACATAGCTGCACATCAAAGTAGTCTGCAAGCTGTGTGCACTTGAAGTTCAAGGCAGTATTTTTTTTCCTTCAGAAATTGAGGTATCTGAGTGTCCATGTGGAGGGAGAAAAAGGAAAGGGAAATCATCCTTTCTATGTGCTGGCTGCAGAGGTTGGACTTTTCAGACTCTGTACTTGTTTTTGTGAACTGGTTGGTACAACGCATTGTGTGTTATGAGACAGAAGAGTCTGGGTAGCTCCATGTTGTGTGGTGCTCTAGTTCTGTTCAGTCCTGGGGCTTAATGTTGGATTTCTTAAGTTCTGGGGGACACATCAATGACTGAAGACTCCTGCATCCGTTTCTCATTTTAATTACAGTAGAACACCTTCTTTGTCTAGTAGTGATTTACTGTAAAGCTTCTGGAGAAGCTGTTGAGTAAGAAGACAAGGAACAAATAAGAAAAGCTTATGAAAAGCTAATGCAGCCAATTGGTGTCCTCGTTCTGCTTTATCTCAGTATCTTAAAATTAATTGTTAGTTATTTGCATACCTTCTCAAATGGAAAATTTTTTTTTTTTTTTAGCAAGTTCATGACATGCAACTCCAGCTTGCCTCACTTTCCCAATCAGAAAATGATTTGCTGGAGTCTAATCAGAAGCTGAAGGAAATAATAGAGAGATTGAAACAAGAATGTCAACATGCAAGGACTCAGGCAGAAAAAGCTCAACTGGAAACAGAGAAGTAATTTTTTTTTTCTTCCTTTTGGCTTTACTTTTCCTTTTCATATTATTTGTGTTCCTTTTGTGTGGATTACTTCATTCAGAATCTATAATCCATAGTTAAGTCAGAAATTAAAAATAAACTGGGCATATTGGACAATTGTATGCATTCTGTTACGCAGAATGTATAAAAGCTTTGCTTGTGGTAACTTCAAAAATAGGGGTTTGTTTCCATTCATGTCTGTTACAATTACTTATTGACTAGTGAAATACACTATTTGTATAAAATGAAATCCTATTGATACTGAAGTGAATGTCAAACTTATATTAGTTTAAGTGGATCTAGAGTTTCACACACAGTTTTTTTAAGAGTGTTTAAGCATTAAGGGTGAAAAAAGCATTGTATTATGCTTTGATAAGGTTTCAGGGACCCAGTCTGTATATGTGTGTATGTACTTCCCTCCCCCCCGCTCCCCGATCCTTTTAGCTGATACGAGGCAAATAAAAGCTTATTGGATATCTTCTAGTTGCTCTTGTCAAAATGAAAAATAATCACTTTCCTTTTTTGCACAAGCTTGACCACATACCGTCAAAATATGCTAATAAATGCTGAAGGAAACCAAATCTTGCTCAGAATCCATATAGCAATGAACACTTTCCTGAAATTTAAAGATTAATTTGTCAGTCAGTCTGAAATAGCGATTTATTATTTCCTCGCCTAATAAACAAATACATGTCTAACTTGTGCTGGATTATTGTGGTGGGTTTTAAAAAAAGTCAGCATCCCAGATTAAACAGAAAACTTCCAAAAGATATAATGTGGTGGCTTTTTGTTCTAGCTCCTCTTTTGCTACTAATTGGTACTGCAATTGCTTTGTTTTCATTAGTTTAAGTATTGCTTTTCAGTTTAACATTTGAAGAGATTATTGCATTAGGACTGCAGAGTATGTTCCGTTGTCAGTAGCATGTTAAATACTTTGGATGTTTACTTTAGGAAGGTGTATTCATATTTTGAGTGAGATTGACAGTCTCACTCAAATAACAGTGACAATGTGATTTATATATTTATGGGCCATAGACCAGTCAGGAGTAGGTTTTCCTGGGAAGGCAGTGGAAGGAACTTGGCAGTCCTCAGAGATGGTTGTATAAGTATGTAGATAAGGGGAGATGCACCAAGGCTGATACCGCAGAAATTAAGCAGCTTTGCAACCTACATTTAAGTCCTCCAGGTCGGTCCTACTGTTACCCTGGGAGCCCTGGGACATGTTTCCATTCTTTTTCTGACTCTGTGGGTGACAGGACTTCCTTCCTCAGTTCAGTAATTCTTACGAGCTTGAACTCCCAAGAATTAAGTTGCACCAAAGCAACTTGGCTTAAAGAGGAAGTGAAATAAGAACCAAAAAATAAGAAAGCCGAAGATAAAAAGTTTCAGATAAATAAAATAATGCCAGCTGAACCATAAGTAGGCAAAGCAGCTGCCTGCCTGGCTGTGTCAATCTTAGGCTTGGAAATGAAAATGTGAAATGAGAAAAAGGGCTGAAGGTAAACTATGAGACTGACACGGATCAGAGATGAGCTCAAACAGGCACTTGTTAAGTATTTCAGGAACAGCATCAGTGGCATTTGAAAAAAAAAAAAAAAGCTCATGGCATTTTTAACCACTGTCTCAATTGAAATTTTTTATTGTTAAGGAGTGCTTTTTGAGAAAGCTCTTTGTTTCCTGGGTAGTAGTAGTTATTTATAGTCAACAGCAAGTCACAAACCCCACTGAGTCTACTAAAAGAACTGTGACAGCTACCAAGTGGGCCAAGATCCTGGTTTGCATATGAGAGTGGATGATTCCCAATACTTCTACTGTGGGGAAGGGAAAGACTGTTTGATGAGAAATTTATGGAGATTCGTTCATAGTCCCTGTAGGAAAACTGCATCAGCCCAGGATTGGAGTGGTATGGATGCACTGATACCAAGCCTTGGACTGCATTTCTTAAAAACTGCTGCACAGAATCTCACTATTTGGTTTTGTGTCTTTATTTTATTATTTTTTTTAATAGTAATGTAGTTAAGTATGCAGTTAATTCTTGTCTGCTTTAACCCACAATGCAGATAGCGCAAACAAGGCAGCAGAGAGAAACTGGCTCCTTTCCTATCCACTGCTAGAGAACACAGCCTAATTTTAGTATGTTTTAACCATGCAAAGACCTAAACAGATAACGTATGCTGTCGGTAGTGCGTGTTCAGCTGAAATGTTGTCTAGGAACTACGTCGGTGGAGCTTCCTGTTGTGTTGGTGTTTGTTCTGGCTGTGAGCGCATACTAGTCAAGTCTGTACTTCTATGTTACAGAGGTGTAGTAGACTGCACAGGGCAGCAACCTATTCTCTTACATCTTACCTCCCGAACAGAGAAGGTAGCTGTCAGCCCTTCTGACAACTGATGTTTGGCATAGGTGTCTACTGTTGTGTTCCAGTGTGATTGTTTGATCTGAATTTAGAAATTTTCTGTGGATGAGTTGGCACGCTGCCAAACCAACAAGCAGCCAACAATTAACTAGCTTATTGGAATCAGTTTTCAAAATTTGCCTCATAGTTGAACAAAACCTAGGATGATGTTAATGCACAGGTTTGAATGTTGTTAGTCACAATTAGATTGTTAGCACAATCAAATTTAAATCAGATCCTTCAAGTATATAGAAGTAGGAGTTGTGAAAAGATGCATCTATTTTAAGAGCCTTAAGGCATTAATCGAACACACTGCTTTGTCTATATAACCTCTTAATCTTTTAACCTGATTTTTTCAAAGGACTTTAGAATACAAACGTATAGAATGGCTGGAGGAGAAGCATGTGCTTACTCAGCGCATCACAGAGAAAGAAGAGAAATACAACCAAGTGAAGAACAAGCTATGTCGAGCTGCTGTTGCTCAAAAAAAGGCATGTTGACTCTTCCTTTATGAATGATCCAGCTCGTGAGAAGTTCAGCTTTAATTTGGCCAACTAGAATTGTTTTAATATTAAGAGTTTATTTGCAGTCTACTCTATATAAGAACAAAATATATCAGGTTTGTCAAGATTAGCATAGAAATAGGTTGAAGTGATAAGCAAAAGAATATTACAGCCAACAACTTTGTTATAATGCCATCAAAGATTTTGTGAGGCTTTTTTTGCATGCGTGTGTGTGTCTGTATATGGATATTTAAGAGGTGGACTCCTTGATTAGTAAGGATGATGTTTCGGATACTAGACAATGATGTTCTACTTTTCCTTGATGGAATATTGAAATATTATATCTTCTTCTAAGTTTGCTTTTTATGAAATAACTGGAAAGGAAAAGCTGATTAATTGTTTATAAAAGCTCAGGATTAATTGGCAGTTTTATACATTGGACATACACAGGTTATGAAACCTACCAGTAGCTCTTAAGGTTGTAAGAAATTGAGGTCAACATGAGGAAAAACAAAAAACAAAAACAAAGCATACTTTTTTTTTTTTGGTCATGTTTATACTTATTTATACATGGTCATTTAAAGAACAAGTTTTGTAATTCTCAAATATAGTTAGTGTTTGTTAGTACAGTTAGTCACTGACCCAACAAGTGACTGACAGCTGTGCATCTTTTAGTCACAGCTATGGATCACTTCCCATCTCTTCTGTTTCCCATCATCGGGATTCAGAACTTTCGAACAACACAGCACCTCTTCTTAAGGAAGGAAAATCCTAAAAACTCACCGCTTGAAACCATGTACATTTGTAGATTTAATTTTTACAGGACCTAATCTATCAAGGTGTTACTTAGCTGTTTGAAATGTCTGTTTGACAGAGAAAGACTCTCAATGATAATAAACAAAGGAGGATGCAAGAGAAACTAGAACTTTTGGAAGCCAAGATAGAAGAACTAGAAAAAGAAAATCAGGTGTTAAATAGGTAATAAACTTTGCTTTTTCTTGGCTTGAAAAATGATATATGCCCAAGATCTGACTTAAAAATACAAAGTATTTTTGAAGATACATGACACTTAGTTTAGTAACTGGAGTCCAGTCTGATGGCATTTTCAGCACTAGAATTCTTTGAATGGAGTCCATTTAGGATGGGCAGCTGAGAGCTTATAAGACAACTGCAGGGCTGTGTCTTTAGGAAAAAATAAAGGAAAAATATCTGATAGATGCAGTTGCAGGAATCCCTTCAAAAGAAGGAAGTGAAAAAGACTTCAGAATTGCGAGAGAACAATATTTAGCATCCTCTTTGAAAGACAAACTCTTTTTTTTTTTTTTCTTTCCTCTTTCTTGAGTGCCTACGGAGGGCTTGATAATATTTAATGTGGCTTGATAATATTTAATTTAATGTGGCTCCTGTGACTCACTACTGTGAATGCTATTAAAAACTTAATTTATTCAATGTAAATTCTAATCTGTACTACAGCAGATACCTTAATATGTAGAGGGACTTTTAGATAGACATTTAGGCAGAAGAATATACACAGCTCTTCCACCTTCCAGTTCTTCTGGTATATAGTTTTCCCTCATAGGGATAGTAAACAGCAGAGTACTCGTGGAGAGGTGTGCTTCTGTGCTGGGGTAATAAAGATTTTGAGCAATAAGCAATCTCTTATTTTAGGCAGAATGTTTCCTATGAAGAATATGCACGCCTCCAGAAGAGACTAAAGGACTTGCAACGTAGGCACAATGAATTCCGGAGTTTAATTCTGAATCCTAACATACCGTCACTCAATCCAGTCAGTATAATGTCATCATCTGCCTTGCCTCCTGGTCTTGAAGTGTCCTTCCCTCTTCTTCAGGTGGTGATGTATTACAAGTTGTGAAAATAATAGCACAAAAGAGGGTACTGGAACAGTCCTTCATTACAGACTTCAGTCTTAAGGAAGGAGTATTTGATCTTTGAGCAGAGGAAGGAAACTTTGAGGAATGCTTCTAGTATTCCTCACAAGAAGAAGGAGTTCTTGAAAGATAAATGATACGTTATAGAATGTAACAAATGGGCAGTTTTAACCTAGTTCTCCATACTTTGTCCTTCTGAGACGCTTTAAATGGCTCCTTCTGGGCAAGAAATACCATAGTGGTGTTCTCACACCATGGTTTCATTACTAAAAAGCAGTATTGCTGCTCTTCGTTTCTTGTGTAGTTAAGAGAGTTTTTCTTACTCTGGTGAGCTTCTGAGGGTGAATATCTCTGGCTGAGGCTGACCAGGCTGACTACAGATTCTTGGTAACAGTGACCTCAGGTCTGCGTGCCTCTTCATTTGAGAGGAGGAACGCTTATGCATGTATTTCTTGCCGATGCTGTTCATCACAGACATCAGAACAATACCCACAAAACATTGAGGAGTAAAATTTAACAAATGAGGATATTTTGGACTTCACAATTTTTATTTTAAAATCATTAATTAAAGAAAAGGAAATTAGTGCCCATTTTGGTCCCTTGTAGGTGTGCAAACATAATAAAGCCACTTCGTTGTTGTTGTTGTTTTAATTTCAAGGAGGAACAGCATCAAAGAGAGCTTTCCCTGCTTCGCAAGCGGTTGGAAGAACTAGAAACCACACAGAGAAAACAGCTGCAAGATCTTGGACCATCTAGAGAGCGAGCAACGGTGGGTGCATACAGGGACTTGGCTAGAACCAAGAATGCTGGAGAAGGTGATGCACAAAGCGAGGACTCCAAAGGCTGTTAGTTTTCAGTAGCTTCTCCTTTGTACGTGCTTTTAATATTTTGCCACAAACATGCTTGTATGTGCCTACGTAGCATAAAATATATTCTGCATAGTTTTGTATTTATTTTTGACAGGCTGTCATAAATTATCAAATATAATGGTTCAAAACAAAAGCATTGGAAGATTAACTACATTTTAAAATGTTTTCATATAAATGATGTAAAATTATTTGGAAGTCAAAACATAGGAAATAATCTCATCACCTGAAACTTTAAAAAACTTTTATCAAGGTTTGGGTTATGCTGACATTTAAAATAAAAATGAAAATAAATTTTTTTTGGTAAATCCTTTGAAACTTATTTGATAATATCCTCTTACTCCTTCAATGTAGAAGTTACTGTATCAGTGTGGAGTTTTGCAGGGTTGCTGTTTTGATTAACAATGCTGTAATCCACATTCGGATTGTTATTTCGAAGTTCCCAGGCAGACAGAAAGGATGAAATGAAATGTAGGAAGTGCTGGAAACTTTTATTGGCTACCCTTTACAATCTGCCTTTTGTATTTTTGTAATGGGAATAAGCAATAATCAGGTTTTTTAATATGATGTAGTCAAGATGAAGTATAATATAAAGTGCCTTCACATTATGAAAATGTAAGTTTTTATTTGTTGCTACTGTAATTTGTTTACTAAACTACAATTAAATTATTTATTCAAGGTTTAATGTATTTATTTAAACTTTTTTCTTCCTTCATTATCAGTTTATTAACAGAAACTTGTAAAGGATCAATTAATTTTTTTGACTTGACAGTGAAAACTGTCTTGGAAGTGTAGGAGTGATTTTTTCTGGTTGGTTGGTTAGTTGTTGTGTGGTGTGGTTTTGTTTGGTGTTTTTTTTTTAAATGCTGCAGTGAAAGTACGAGACAGTGTATGCAGTGCGGTTTCTTTTAATAGCTTATTGGGTATGCTTTATTACTACAGTCTAATGACAACTGATTAACTACGTTGCATATGGTGATACTGTCATTGATTCAACTTTTCTATCCAAAGGCTGCATTTTTGATTTTCCATGCAGTATGTAAGTATAAGGATTGTACTGTACTTTCTTGGGGAATTTGTTAGACTTCTCTGAGGAAAACAGTGTAACTATTAGAAGTAAGAGCAGCTACTTCTATTGTCTCCTGCAGGATTAATTTGGAAAAAGTAACTCTCTGTGCCTGAGCCAGCTTTGCCAAATGTAACATGCACTAACACTTAACCAGTATATAATAGTTGCAAAGAGCTGGCATGCGGCAGCCTGGCGTTTCTGTCCCTGGCTCTGGTTACGTGGTCTTCAGCAAGACTTCATCTGATGTCAGGGGGCGAGTTATACAAACTGGGGAAGCCTTGGAGGGCAGAAAAAGGGTACTAGCAGGAGGAAGAATGATGGTTATCTACTGGTTTGTGGGCTCCCCTTCCCAGTCTGTCTCAGCTCCTTGGTTTTAATGTTATTTTAACAGCTTTTTAAAAGCATCGTCATACTCTCAGAGCCTTAAAGCATGAAGTTGTAGTGCGGCTCTGGTCTGCCCAGCTTCCCAGAGGTGGGAAGGCTGCAGGGAATCCCCCACCCCAGGAATCCCCCCCTGCCCTAGGGCCAGCTGCTGAGTTTCAGGCCAGTACCCCTCTGCCCCCAGCACCGTACCTTCCTTTTTTTTGTAGTTCCCAACAAATACAAAACTTTCACAGTGGCGGAAGTGGTTTGTAACACATGGTGCTGAGGCCGGTGGCTCTGCCTTGGAGCCTCGCAGGGCTGGAACGGCCGTGGTCCTCCTCAGCCAACGCCAGTCAGTGTCTTGCATGCTGTTCCTTGCGCGACCTTAGACCGCCACAAGCTGTGCTTGCTTTCTTTTAAACACTTTAAAATACACAAGTTAATCAAAATAACCTCCAAATGCATTTTATTCTAGATAAACCCTTACAAACACCAACATGTATTTGTCATTTGCACTTTTTTTTAACCATTCATTTTAAACAACAGGTTAACTTCTGTACAACAGGAATTACTTTACATGTTAGTAAGATCTGACTTTAAACTAGATGACTGCAAAATAATGCTCTGTAAGCTAGTGTTAGAAAATATACTGTTTGCCATAGTAGTTTGCCTGTAAACATGTGAAAATAAGTTAAAGAGAAGTTTGCTTTCATTTCGGAGAATGGTGTTAGAATTGTTGGGTTGCCGTCATACAGCTTTAGTCAGAGGTGGTTCTTTTTGTCCGTTTTAACAGTAACGGCGAATTGCAGATACGGAAGGTGTGCCAATGTTTTGTGTGCTGACCCAAACCTACCAAAAGAGCCACAATCACTTAATTATACTTCACATCACTTTGTGAGATCCACTCTATGGGTTACAAAGTCCCAGCATGACTTTAAATGGTTTACTAACAGAGTGACACTGTTTAGGAGGCTTGAATAAAAGGCAATAATCCTATTCCAGGCTGTAGACTAAGGCTACAGGGCCTGCTTCAACACATAATCTCTAGAAATCATTAAAGCTAGTGTAGCAAACAAGCAGTAGTACAAATACAGAATAGGACCGATTTTCATTTCCTCATCATATAAACACATACAGTGAAGTTCACAGGATCAGACCCACGCAAACAGATTATATTTTACAGCTTTCCAAGCAGAAACGTTGCGGGGGTACGGGGTGGTTTCTGCCTGTACAGAAGGTTACTGTTGAACAAAACTATCGCAGTTCATTCAAATGCACTGCCAGCAAACACCTGAAGTGGAACGGAACTGCTGAGATGTCTTACTGGAAAGAGTAATCTGCTCATGCCCTTCCTTTAATAGTAATTAAATTACTGTGCTTTTTTTTTTTTTTTAAATTTATTTGATGTTGCTTTAAAATGTTAAGAATGATAAAAATCAAGCCCTTAAGTACAGGTATTCTAAGCTTAAGTGCTACTTAAGCCATAGTCCACTCCTTTAGGACAGAGGGCAAGATAGGTTAGGGTTGGGGGTGAGTTTTTTCCCAATCAAAATTAAACTTACCAAAATCTATTGTGCCAGGCAGAGAAGAGAACTGCTGAAAGTACTGCAACATTGTAGTGCAGTTTCCTGAACAAAGCCATACATTCCATCAAGTATAAAGTGTAAACTTAAGAGCAAGTGTAAGACTTTAAAAAAAAAAAAAAGCCATCACAGTATGGGTTGGTGGCTGCCCTCTTGGCTACGCAAGAGGTACAACTTGTGCAATCACATAGTAGGGAGGGGCCAGACCAGTAGGCAATGTTTGTGGTTTTGCTTTTTTTTTTTTCACGTTAACAGGCGGCCTTGCTTCTACCAAAGCACGGTTAATGTTCGCCGGCACCAGCCGGCCGCATGCCAGGACACCGTGCCTGGTCCCGGCACAGCCCCGGCACAGGCTTTCTATACCAAACTTGGGCCGCCTCTGCCCTTCACAGCCCGTGGCACTGCCAAGGCAGGGGACAGCTCTTCCCTCTCCCGTGGGCCACTGCGCTACGCCGCTCGCCTCCCATGGTGGATCCCTCTGGGAACGTGTGGAAACGTATCTCCGTCTCGTCAACACCTTACCTCAGCTCTAAGGGCAGGCAGCAGCCTTAGTTAAGTGTCTCCACATGACCGAAGCAGAGCCCGGCGGCCACAAAACGTTTCAGCTCCGTAGCGGGGGACAGGACCGTGCTGGTGCGGTAGCAGAGCCGCGGCTGCTCCTCCGTGGCTGTGCACAGTAGCCACGGTGCCAGCCTCGTCTCAGCAGCGTGGCCACACACCTGCTTTCCAGCTGGGCTAACTTTAGCCATCAATGCAAATGTAATGGACAGCCGCCTTTTAAAACCGCCAAGCCTCAAAAAAACACCCCAGCAGCACTAAGGCAGTTTTAGTTACCCCCTCCCCACCCCCAACCCTAGCTAGCACGCTTGTATCAATTTCTCAGACACAGCCAGAGGTTACATACACCAGCCCTCCTGTTCTTACATATTAAACTAATCCTTTGTGTGGACAACCTGAAAAAAAACAACCCAAAACCGCTGGCTTTAGATCTGTGAGGCCCCTGTATACCCATGGCAAGACTGGCCAGGACTGTCAGCACTGATGCATCGGGGCCGATCATGCGCCGGAGTCCAGGTTTGGGCACCAAAGTGCGGCCATCGCCAGCTGCTTCATCAAATCACAACGGTGTTCCAATGCGGTGCAGCTGCATGGAGGTTTCACACATGAAGCTGCTCACAAGTGTTTCACAGCTTATTTAAGGATGGAAAGGTAGAAATGTAAACACAGACTGATGCCAGCCTAGCGCCTTTCTCCAAAAGCCTCCCTGCTCCACCCCGCTCAGTGGTTGGCTTCACTTTGCAGGTGGAATTTCTAACCTCAGGAAGGTAAGTCAAGTCCTGCCATGGGGCATTTGGCCTTCAAACCTCAGACCCACTTTTTCTGCTAAACGCACTTGTCCTAAGTGTCACTTTGGTGCTGGTTTGTTTTTTTTTTTCTTTTCCCGAACAGGAACCAGTGTATATTTGTCTGGAAGGAAGGAAACTGCAGCTGACCCGTATTCTGAAGCCGGAGCTCATCCTCACAGTTTGCCAAGGCTGCTGAAAGGATGTGGCAAAACATCAGCTTTCTCTCTTAAAAAAAAAAAGAGCTAAGCAACTTACAAGTTCACATGGGCAACTCTGACCTTGCAATGTGGTTTGCACATCTCCTGCAATCTTGTTTTTAAGTAAGCAGAAAGCTTACTTTTAGGCAGTATTGTTGAACCAAAAGGTACATGTGTTCAAGTACCTAAAAATGCTGGCCCAGCCAACACTAGACTCACTTTTGCTTTCACATGCCCACGTTTGAATATCTACCCCTGCCCGTACTTCATTCCCAAATGTAGATATTACTTGGAATGGTCAGAGTGGAGAAGAGTGTCCAAATGTTTCAAACCCTGTACATATAGTCAGTCAAAACAGTTTGGGGAGCAGCAGCGCTTATTTAAAATCCCCCACAGTGACGCTGTGAGTCAGTGCTCTGCTCAAAGCCATTTGCATTTTTTCTTTTCATCAAATAGCACTTTTACTTGCTGGAGCTGTTTCTGGACTTCTTCAAACCCCCGTTCTCGTTCAAGTTTGCTGACAATCTGTTAACAATTAGCAAAAAAGAGAATAATTTTTTTAGTGCTTATTTTACTTGCTGTTTTTAAAGCCTGCTTTTCTGCATTCCAACAACTAGTGGCAGAAAAATCCATCTGAATGCCTGCCTATATGTAAACATTCTATTCTGACTTGAACACTTTATTTTGGTAGTTTTCCTTTCAAGTCATTGTGATTACAGGATTTGCAACACTTCCACAAAAGAATGACACAGCCAAGCAAGAATACCAAAACAAATCCAACACATGCTCATCTCTTGATGTACAAGGCAAGGCCAGTGCTCCAGTTTTACCCGAGAGCAGATTTGCAAATGGTATTTTATTTCTCTTCCTCTGCCCTATAAACTGAGGGCAATAAACTGCTTCTCTTCCTCTAACTGGCCCACTTGGCACGGGCCCAGGTGATAGGAAGGAGCACTACTGCTGTCTGAAAACTCTTTGCTGGCAACTCTACAAAGTGACTGAGGTCTCAGCAAACAATGAATGAGGTTTAGCTGCTCCCAGTCAAAAGCCAGAGAGGGAAGAGCAGAGGGAGGGTTTTCTTCTAAGGATGGGGTAAGTTTAGCCAGTACTAGCTTCAAAAACGCAAAAATGGGCCCTAAGATTAGAAAGTGTTCTGAAGTCTCCTCTGTCAACAATTCTAATGAGCTTAATAAAGTGTAGTGCCATTCTGAGCATCATCCCAAGCTTTTTTAAGAGGCAAAGATTTGATGCCATCCCAGATAATTTGAGATATTAGAGACCAGAAGTGGTAAGCTAGCTAACGGGTGACTGAGAGCTGGATGATTACAGCAAGTGCTGATGCTGTGCTGCTGGGGATGAAAGAGAGAAAGGTCTGGTTGCTGGGAGACCCAGACAACCTGCTGCAAGCGGTAAGGAGGCCTTCAGGCAACACCCCCCCAGCTGGCTCTTATCTGCGTCCCTGCGCAGGCACACGCAGCCTCTGTCAAGGATGCTGCCGAGCAAAATGGAGTGGAGAATCCTATCATGCAAAGCGGAGGGCAGGGATTTTCTTACAAAGCAGCTTAGAGGTAGCCTGTGACTAAGTGCTTGCAGTTGAGAAAAGATTTCTTTTGTTAGCAATAGCAGGGACTGGAAGCTATAGCTTCTTTTCTTTAAGAGAAAGACTATTAGAGCAGAGCGTAAGAGGGCTGTGATGGGAAAGGAGCAGAGACCTCTTGCTGTAAGGCTGAGTGTGCCCCGTTGAGGTGTTTGTACTGACTGTTAAATCGAAAGGCCTGGTGCTACAGTCTAATCTGATTTCTGAATTGGGAGGGAAATGGAGCGCATGCACCGGAGTTGTGACAGGCATTAGCAGATACTCTGCACACACAGTAAAACAAGAAGTCTAGACTAGATAGGAACTCTTTCGAAACTGCACGGAAGATTTTGTTGCTACTGTCCCTGTGAATCAGAGTGGTGACAGTACAGGTGCATTTACAGACCTTTGGCCTGTGACCCCTCTGAGAGGTGGGGGCTCCAGCTGCCTCGGGGGCCGCACTGCTCTGGTCCCCCCAAGCTCAGCGGGAGGAGCAGCTGCGGCTCCGACACCGAGGGGCTGTCGCTGGAGTGGAATCCAGTAAGTCACACACCAGGCCAGCCCCTGGTTACTTTGTCGAGCCCAACTTTCCAGCCTGAGGCAGCAAGTTAACATTAAGGGGTTAAGCAGGAATAGCAGACATGCTTACCTCATCATAATATTTCACTACGTATTTGTAGATTTCAATCAAGGCCACTTTCTCATTAAATTCATTTTCATGTTTCTAAAACAGAAAACAGTTCTGGTCAGATAGTTCTCCTTTTTAAAAAACTTAACATAAAAGCAAATGAAGTTGCTGCTTCTCAACCATACCTTAGATTCCTGAGTTAGAAATTCTTCAACCTCTGAAGTGGTCAGTGGAGGCAGATCCCTGATGGCTTTATAGTACGCTTTCACCTCCTTCTTGTAGAGCGGAATGTCCTTAGCATAGAGAAGTTTATTTGTTGGTGCTTCCTTAAAAGAAAACATTTGAAGCCTTGTCAATTTTCACAGCACAGATTTCCTAAGGTTCCACCTCCACATAGTTAATTGCATCTAATTGTGTCTGTTCTCTGTGTGACTCATTTCTCTTTGCGGTGATTATATGCAAGGAATCAAGGTTATGAAATAAAGATGAAGAACAGACGCAGGACCTCAGTAACAGTGCATTGTGTTTCATGACAGTTGCCATATTATTATTTCTACTGGTATCAGGAGTGATGAACATTTGTCCCTTAGATGTAGTTTTCTTTCTTCCTTCCTCCTCACCCCTCCCGGGACCTGAAAGATTGTGAAAGCTGAACCAAAGGGCTTGAGGCCGATACCCTATTTAACGTACAGGATACAGCAGTGCTGTGGAAAGTTCCCCTAGGGTAACATGCCAGAGAGCCTTGCTAGATCCTGTCCTGGCAGAGGTTCCCCTGAAACTCTTTGGTCCCTACTACTCCTTTCGCTCGGGGGTTCGAGGGCATGGAGAGCTGACTGCCAGGCATGCACAGCCAAAGGGATTTATTCTTTTCCCCGGGGCTTCAACAACCCAGGTCAGCACTGACCTACCAGGCAGCGTGAGGCTCATCCGAGAATGTAAATGCTTATGTTTGTGGTAGGAGCCAAAGCCCCACCTGGAAACTGTGTTTTCAGAATGTAAAAGTGGGGGCTGGTAGTTTCCTGTCACTGCTCTAGTTTAAATTCTGGGGAATAAATGACACAACCATGTGATATCTTGTCACTACTGTTTCCACTGTGTGATGAAATAATTTAAATGTTTGTTTTCTAAGTGGCTAAAGAATGTTTTAGGATAAAATGCTAAAAATCTGAAAGTAAATACATTATAGTACTAAAAGGCCACAAGATGTTTACTGCATTGCAAACCTTTATCAGGTTTCAGCATCCCTTTTCACATGGCTAATGGGAGCTGTTGTATCAACAGTACTTCACATCGGATGTTAAGCACAGAAACCTAAGAGACCATTTGCAGTTTTTCCATCAAGTGATGTGATTAGTTTTAATTCATGGCACTTCACTCCTAAAATAAGTTAAATAAGCACATTATTTGTTATCTACGTTTAACAGATAAGCAGTTGGTTCAGAGCACATAGGAAATTAGTCCATTTTTATATGAGTTTTTTTTAGGCTAAAAAATCTCTAGCCTGTTTTTCCTGGTAGTATGAACCTGAACAAATGCTTTCTGCTTTGGTCCAAAGAAAAGGAAAATATCCTTGGGAAAAACGAAGCATTCCTGATCCCCAGAGTTCTGGACACTGTACTAAAGAGCTTTTGAATGTAAGATTTCTGGACTCATTGCTCCAGCAAATAATTTTGCATATAAAAACAGACCAGCTCATAGATGTGAAAGGAACTGTTTCAAACTTCAGAGCTCTTTCAAGTGTTCTTATATCTCCCAGGAGCTTACTGTGTGTTTTCTGCACATTGGT